GGTATTCTGTGTTGTTGCTGACAGAGCTCCTAACTGCACTTCCACCTGGTCTGCCATCTTGTTTGTTCTCCGAAAGTTTGACAGTTTGAACCTACACAGAAGCACCTGAAAAAAAAGACGTGGCTTTCTGCTTCCAACAAGTCACAAACTTAAAGACAGTGTGCACATGGGATCATCATGGGTCAGAATCAACTCCATGGCAGCTCTTTTTTTAGGAAATGAAATGACTAAAAGACTCGTTACAAGTAGAAGCCAGCTGCCCTAGGAGGTTTTATATTCCTGATATTATTAAATATTTGCAATTCATGTATCCTGTATATGATACTCTGCCCATTGAGTCATTTTTGTTTCAGAACTGTGTTCCCTGGGGTTTTCAGTAGCTGATTTTGTAGAAGTAGATGTGTCAGGTTGTTTCTTCTAAAGTGCTTCTGTGTGGTTTCAAACTACCCATCTTTTTCAGTTAGTAGACAAGTACATCAACCATTGGGAATAATGGACTCCCGTATTTCCAAAGTGTCGTATATAAAAGAATCTTCTGATTTATTCTCTTAGACAGTCTAAACCACTCTATAGCCTAGATGCCATAGAGGGTATTTCCAATTGCAAGTTAGTCGTTCATTTCTTGGTATTTGTTAATTCTGATTATTTACTTAAAAAGGTATTTATTTTGGATGTTCTGTGTTTTTCAGGAGGTGAAAGATGATTATGTATTTGAATGTGAATCTGGTAATCAGTATCAGAAAACAAAATTGACCATTGTGCAGTCACTCGGTGATCCACTTTACTATGGTAAAATACAGCCTTGTAAAGAAGATGAAGAATGCGATAGCCAGTTATCTCCATCCAAGTAAGTTCTGTTAAATACATGTTACTGACGGAATTAGGCACCTTGGATTTATTTAACAACTGATGAAAGGACCTCTGGACTGCTAACCGTAAGGTCAGCCTTTCAAATCCACCAACTGTGCCATAGGGGGAAAAAAGGAAGCTTTTTTTCTCCTGTAAAGAGTTACATCCTATATAGGGTCACTGTGAGTTGGAATTGTGGCAGTGAGAGAGACAGAGAGATGGAGCATTAATGAATGAATTTCCCTTAGGGGATTCATTTGTTGGTTAAATTCTGCAATTAGAGTTGGCAGTGGAGTTAAGTAAACTTAAATCATAGGTGCTGCCCAAGAGTTATATAAAATATATTCTAATTTTTTATACTTGCTTTAAAGGATATGCCTGTTATATCCTTCTTGGTGTATTTATGGGTGGTGGTAGTAGCGTGCCTTTGAGTCACTTCCAACTCATAGCGACCCTATATAGGGTTCATGAGGTTGTAAATCTCTATGGGAAAAAGCCTCATCTTTTTCCCATAGAGCCTACTGATGGATTCAAACTACTGACATTGTGGTTAGCAGCAAGCAGGGCTCCATAGTTACATGGAGCCATTTATACCTTTAGTCTCTGAAGTGTTTCAGGGCAGTAGTTTGCATACATGGGAAGCAAGTTCAGTAAATGTAAAGCTTATATTACAATGCAGTGTGTTAGGACACAAACTCAGTGCTTAATATAGATACTCGCTTTAGAAATACATATGTTGTTCTTGTTAAGTGCCGTCGAGTCGGTTCCGACCCATGGTGACCATTTATAGAGTTTCGGAGGAGCAGCTGGTGCACTTGAACTGCTGACCTTGCAGTTCAAATGGCTTTGCAGTCTGGTGCATTAACCCACAGTGCCACATCAGGACTCCAGAAATACATATAGTTGATTTTATCTTCTAATATTTATGAAGAGCCCTGGTAGCATAGTGAATTACCAATTGGGCTGCTCAGCACAAGGTCAGCAGTTTGAATCTACTGGTCGCTCCAGAAACCTTATACAGGGTTGCTATGAATCAAAACCGGCTCAGTGGCACACAACTACTAATATTTAGGAATTTTTTATACTTGATACAGGTTGCTAGTTTGTAATTTTGTCTCTCTTATTGGCATATTAGTTTTTTTTGTTGTGGTTGTTTTTTGTTTTT